CCATATGTAGTTATCAAAGACAAGGAAGGCAACATAATAAAAATATTGACATGCTAAAAAGTATACACTTTGTATAATTCTTTAATGACAGATACTTTGGAAAAGACAGTACAATATCAACCATAAAGTAAAGACAAACAGGAGAGAAGAGGCAGAGCAGAAAAAGGTTCAGTTCTGCAAAAAATTAAAAAACAATAGAAAAAAACAATAAAAAAAGAAGGGAGTGCAAAAGCGGCCGAGCAATGAGAGTACCATAATGCCATTAAGGGCATTTGTTGCAAAGCATTCCTTTTCCTTCTTTCCCTCTGAGGAATCAGGCTGTGGGAAAAGTGGAAAGAATGAAAAGATAAAGAAGTGTTACTTGATTATTTCCAAAGCCAGAAGTCGGTCACAGAAAAAGCTGGGGCACAGCACGCAGTTTCCAGTTTAGCAGAGTGCAGCAGGCACCCCGCACCTGCTCCCACCTTGCTCCGCACTGCTGCACAGCTGCAAGGGGACAGCCGCCGACCCTCTTTTGTTCGTGAATAATGGACCTACATTGATCTTCACCCTACCTCCTTTCTTTCCTTCCCCAACTGATCACTTTAACTTTCAACTAAATAGCAACTTTCAGAGAACAACTAAAGCAAAAGAAAAGAGAGAAACCAATTCCAAACTGGAGGTGACCCTCACTTGGATGATGATAACGGTGCTCTATCAGAGCAGCTCATCCGAATCAAACATTTAGTTTTCCGAGACCCCAATAGAGAACTGAGTATAAAGGTCCAGGTTAGTTGGTGGAGCCAAGAGGGAAAGTATCTGAAATTTCAAAGGGAGATTAATATTTTAAAGGAACAGAGGTAACCAGCATAAAAGAGTATTTAGATACAACATTCTGGGGCTTCTACAGTGATATAGTTTTTAAACATAATGGCAATGACAAAGAATTAAAGCCCAGAGGTGATGGAACAGACACTGAGATCTGAGACTCTAAGGAAGAAGAAGCAGTGACAGGTATGATGATGGCAAACGTCACAAATGAGAAGACTTAAAAAGCCGAAGTCCTAAATGTAGTTACGCCAACTGAAGGGCTTGTGAAGAGACTCATGGTTTCAGAGGCTGAAGAAAGAGCCTGAGCATTTATCTTCCTCCAAACTATGAATAATTAGGTACAGAATGCCCCAAAGCAATGAACATTCGTTTGGTTTGACAGGTGGAGCAGAAAGTGATGGTTCCCAATGATGCAACTTGGAATAAAAAAGGCACTTATACATGACAGTTTTCTTAGAAAACAAATGAAGTTATAATTTCTTTTAAAAAACAAAAGACTGCCCCCAAAGAAACAGTATAAGCTTACAGGAACATGCACTCAATGGGTGAGCAGTGTAAAGACATGAACCGAACTGAATGACATCAAATGAGGTGGCTACAGGTTCTCAATCGGAGGCTCGATGATGAAATGTTCGAGACCCATTCTCAGGGAGCTCTTCAGAGTTGATACAACAACACTGAAAAATGGGCCAGTTCTATTTAGCTGGTTCTTCAGTGGATTATTAAAACAGAAACATTAAAATGGGTTTCTAGCTCTAACAGGAAGTGGGAGGTGTAGAAGCCCATTAATTTACTTCTCTGGACTTAAGAAAGGGGATGAGGAAGGTGCTACACAGACTCCTCTCAGCACCCCATCCGCCACCAGACGCTCCAGTGTTTCCGTGCCCGAACTGCCACAGCTGGGCCAGAGCAGAGCTTGTCACCCACGATTTAAGCTTAGATGTGGCTAATGTTCAACGGATACATGGGAGAATAATCAGTCACCTGCCATGAGAGAAACGTGGTGGCAATTCTTCCCAGCACCAAATACTTATGACAACACTCATATTTTTTTCAGTCTCCAAATAACTGCTCTTTTAACATGTTTGTGGGAAAGTTCTTCCAAGATGTCAAGCCTCTCAGTAAACTGTCAAAAATCAAAAGAGCCAAATCAATGGAAAGTGAATGTTGGTGAGGTCTTCATCCTGGAAACCCTCAAAGAGTAGAATAGAACATGGAAATGAAAGGTCAAGCTCTATGGCTCAATAGAGATGATGATGACGTACAAACAACATCAACCTGCAAGAGAGAAGGCCTCACAAATGGGAATAACGGCAGACTGGCAACCCTGGTGCCTTGCAAGTGTTTATGAATGTACATGGAAATGGTGCAAAAATGGTGTACTATTTTGTGTGTGTGTGTGTGTGTGTGTGTGTACTGCTGTTCAAAGAAAAGATTTCTATTCAATACTTTAAAATTACTCAACAATCTTAGCTCATATTATTTTGTCCTGAATCAGATTATGTGCAATTGTGTTAATTCTCTCACTACCCTCCAACCACAAACGAATACTATCCCATAGGACAAAAACTTCACGCTACAGCTTGGGTGCTGACTCCCGTTATTTCCTAGAAGCAGGGAATGGGACCTGTGCATAACGTATTTGCCTTTCTCTGGTGAGCTGTATGTGGTCACAGTTAAGGTGATGCCAATACAGGTCAAAGCCCAGAAAGAGGTAAAGGAGACCCGGCATGGAGGGCATGGTTAGAAGCACTGTGAAGCCCAATTAACTCTCGTTGTTTTACTTCTTTGCCCCTCCAAATCTCTGAAAGTCCATTTCAGAATTTAAAAGAAGTTTTTTTTGGTTTTCAGCACTATCCCGAATGCCTAAAAACTGCTTTCTTTGGGCCATTTCAATATTTGGTCAAGCTATTCAGTCTGAACTCTACTTTAGAGCCCTCAAAGCAACAAGTCCAGGGACCTCAGGCAGATGCTCACCGCAACCAGGAACCACCTCTGCTGAGAAGCACAAGTTTAGATCACTAGACAAGACCTAGATGGAAAAACTACCATACGGCCACACCCTAAGAGGAACGTGGTATGACCAGGCAAGTGCAGTCCCGGCTCCAGGACTCTAGCCAACTCCTCTGAAACCTGCAGAGCGCCATCCAGAAAAGCAGAAAGCAGAATTAAATGTGCAAAACACACCCGGCTGTGATAAAAGTCTGAAAAGAATATGTCCATTCAAAACATGTCTATCATCAACAGCAGGCCCTTTATTTGAATTTTTAATAATTTAATTTCCATAAAAGTGTCAAAATTTAAAAAAACTCGCATTTCCCCTCATTTATTGTAGAAAAGTTAGAAAAAAAAGAAAATGATAGAAAAAAAGAGAAAAAATCCCCAAATGCCCTACCAACTGGAAGAACTGTTAGCGTTACGGCATATCTTTCCTTTATCTTACTTCTCTACATATATATTGGGTTGGCCACAAAGTTCCTTTGGGTGTTTTGGTAAGATGTTACGGAAAAACCCGAACGAACTTTTTGGCCAATCCAACCGAAATGTCCACATCTATAAATATTTAAGCTTATAAATATTTACACATCTATACACTTTTACACACACACACATATATATATAAAGTATATTTTACATTTACAAAATTAGAGCAATACTTCATAATTTTTATGTGTCGCCCTTTTCATTTATTGCTCCATGAGCAATTAACCCAGGTCATTAACTTTCCTTTGAAAACATGACTCTCGATTCATTTGGCGGAATTCATCAATCATTTCCTATTTCTTACTATTATAAATAACATTTCTGATATTATGTTATAATGTACCTAAATCTGACTTTCTGTCAGTATTTCTCTAATATTCTTCTCAGTGAATTAGAGTACAAAGAGTATGAATATTTGATACCTTTCTAATGAAAAGTTTTAAACCCTACAATCAGGAGTCAGTGCCCAATTCTCAAATACTTGTATTGAGGCACTATCACGTTCTCTGGCAAGTAAAAGATTGTAGTAAAACTGTACAAAAGAATCAGCAAAGAAGGAGAGTGGCAGAATGGAACAGTTCCTTACAGAAGCAAAACACACAGAGCTCTCTAGATTGTCAGTGAGTCCCTCAGGACACAGGCTGCCGTGGGACTGCACCGGAGACTACCTTAGCACTGAAGGTCAACGCAGGCCCAAAGCCTCAAAGATCTGAGGGCAGGGAAGCCAAAAAGAAGCAAGGAAAACTGTGAAGGACGTTTTAAAGTCTGGTTCAGATTATCTTCAGCTTGCTCGTGGTCTCTATAAGACAACCCTGTGTCCTGAGCACGGTACTGTCATGCCCAGGACCGCACGGGTTGCCAGCTCAAGGCAAAGATACACAAACACAAAAAAGGTGCCTGCCTGCCTATGCCTCCTGAGATGATAGGAAATGGGCAATCTGCTCTCCCCTAAAAGGGGATCTGTTTTTGGAATATGTTAAAAATGAAATGTCTCAGTTCATGATAAATATCCAAAAACAATGGTGAGTAATGGATTTGGTCACAGAACATGTCCAATTTTTTGTGAAAGCCTCTATTAATGAAGGAAGTGAAAGATGCTGGGCCAGAAAGTGAAAAGGCTAGCGCCCTTGTGTATATAGAGACTGTGGCCAAGAGGATAGTCGCTAGGTAAAGAAGGATCCCAAACTCACGGGAGTTCTCATTTTTCCACCATCACACTTATTTACAACTAATTCTCCAACAATTATGCTGGATCTGATATACAGACAGAAAGATTTCCTCCAAGTCCTGACAGAGAGCTTTGGAAGTTCTTAATTTAAGAACTCAGAAGTACAGCATTCTCAACTTTCCCATATTATGGCCCAGAGACAACATTTCCAGTGTTGAGAATCACCTCTGTAAACAAAACAAAGCCCCAAATTAAAATGGTCCAGATTTTCTTAGATGATGAACAAGTGAAACATTTTTGATTAATTTCCTACCACAGGGACTCTGCTTTCTCCTGTCTTCATTTCTATCTCCAGAAGATTAAACTGGAAAACCAATGCTTAGAACATTTCAGAAGAGTAGGATTCTTTTCTCACCTTTTAAAACTGCTTTTTCTTGAAGCAGATCTGGTGGTTCTTTTAGTAATGCCTGCACTGCCAGAAATGTTAGGTTCAGATGTTTTACAGCTCTGAACACTGGACTGAAGAATTACTCTGAAAACAGTTGGAAAAAGATAACATTATACTCACTGAAGCGATTTGCAAATACTTGACAGAGGAAGGCATTTTTGCACTTTAGTGCAAATTATTTTCTTGAGAACGGACAGGATTTTCCATAAGCACATTTGCCAGAAAAAAATCTGAAACACACTTTTACATCAAGGTCTTTTGAAATAAAGCATCTCATTTCCCTATGAAGGTTTACACAAAGATAACCAAAGAACTTTGCTTTTGGAAAATGAAATGACCTGGCATGTCAAGCAATTCCCACACCAAAGAAATCAATCAGTAAGACAAATTTTTGTGCCCCAAAGTAAAAATAAATTCTCAGAATTCTAGTCATGAAAACAAGAAATCATTTAAAAACCCCAAATTCTAAAGAATACGAATATAAATATATATACAGTATTCACTCTTCAGAGCTGGAAGTACAAGCAATTGACATCAAATCAACAGTAATTTTTTATAACATTTCAAATTTTAAAAGTATGTTCAAACAGAATTTTTTGGGCTGGCTTACAACCACTCACAAAGTCACCCAGTACGATTAAAGTGAAGCTGTTTAAATTTTGTGAAACTTGATTTAATTAAACTCTCTACATCTCCAAGAACTGAGTACCTATGGGAGTAGACTGCCCAGGAGGCAAACTCATGAATCAGAAAGAACACCCTCAGATAAAGCCCACACAGAATACCTGTTCATAAGTAGAGGGTGTTTTAAAATTCCTCACTGAATTGTCAGAGGGACAACAGCAGAAAACACCAAAAAATTTTACAAGCAATTCTTTTCTTCAAGAGATAATGACTAAAACACTGAACTGCATACATACACATCTACATATACTCAACTTTCATTTATCTGTGAGAGAAAATACTTTAAAAAGCTTTCTCCTCTCATATCCAAACATAAGGGTGAGATAGCCAACAACAACTTATGAGAACCCAGCTCATGCATAAAAAGAAAGCATTACAACCAACTAGCAGCCAGTCCTACCTCCTATGCCTGTGTTAACACCACATTAGTTAATAACCAAAGCCAGGTCCTTAAAATGTAGTAAATTCTTATAATCTTAATATTACTCAAACCATGGGATATTCAACATTTAGTAAAATACTAACTTCTCATCATTAAAAAAACAATGGGTTGTACTGCACCAGAGCAGAAGTCTGGAGGCCAGTAGTTTTCGAGCCATTTGGGGGAGAGGAGTAGAATGCTGAGGGAGGGGAACTCCTAGCCTAGCTGTTTCTCTTTATCCAAGAAACATTTCTGAAAGCCTTATGAATCAGGCCTTCAATCTCACTGAGGGAAACTGATCCTGGGTAAATGAGCCAATGCTTGATTCAGGATTTCTGATAAAGTTTTATCACCCTAAATGCTGACTGTTTTAACAAAATAGAAAATGTATATGCAGACATAATTATATTATCGAAGAGGGTACCAACTGCCCTTGGCATATAAATTCTCTCCTTGAAAACAAGGATTTATTTTTAAATTCTTTCTGATTGTATAAAGTGAAGAGGAAATATTTAGTTGTCTTTGTTAAGAATGTGAATCTAGAATTTTTCATTAAAAAAAACAAAACAAAACGGAAACAAACTGCAATGCTTCCATTGCTATTTCTAAGGCCCAGGCCCAGGGCTTGGTGCTGCCTCTACTGTCCCGAGGCCTCTCACCCACTCAGTGAGGTTCATGAGTTTTATCTCCATTTTTTACAAATGGAGAAAATGAGACTCCTGTTGGCTTTTTTTTGAAATACAACAACTACTTTTCAAATAATTTGAGGCCACTTATGGTCAAAAGTATCAACCATCACACTGTAAAATCATTAATATGAGGGAAAAAACAAGAGCCAATATACACTGCCTGCTTAGGAAATTTACCTCCTGATTTCTTAAGTTAGCTATTATGTTTAAATACTATTCAAAACAAGAAATTACTGCTAAATCATATTTTAGGCTGATAGGAAACATCTTTTTAAAAGTACTTATTTCTCTATAAAATTAGTATAAACAATTCATGGGAAGTAATATACTATTAATAGCTAATAATTTACGTGCAATTTTGAAAATGAGAGCATGCTAGAAATTTGGAATGCAAACTGGTGACTGATTCAGGTCACCAGTTATTTACATTAAAAACAGAGCAGTTATTACATCTGTAGGTTATGCATCAATAAAGTGGGAAGGAAACACAGCAACTACACTTAGTTATTACCTGAGATATCCTACAAGTTAACACCCTAAGGTGGGTGAAGCTAGTAAACGTGTGAAGTATTCACTCTGCCACAGGGATGTGGGAACTCACTACCCCCTACCTTGCACACTAGGCCAATCACACGGCTCTGCAGGACAACATTTAGCAAATGTCGTTTCTCCTTTCCATCTTTTCCTGATAGAACCCTCAGTCCTACCTTCTATCTCTTGCCCATACTAGAGTTCGTTTTCTTCTCTGCAGTATCTTTTGAGGCCCAATATTTTCCGATTTTGGATACAAGGATATCTGCAACTTGAGGCACAGCAAAAAATTGAAAAGCCAGGTCTCTCACCTATCAAGTCACAAAGTACTTTGAAAATAAATGTTCATTCCAAGAAGAGAATCCATCAGCGCAGCCATGCACTATTTACACTGGTTGTCCACCACTGATACAAAAAGAGCCTGCAAAATGATGGGCCTGAGGCCCTGCAACCTGCAGAGATGCTTTTCCCACTGTCTAAAAGGTCTGAAGCAGCGTGTGAAGTGCTGTTATAGGGAAGCTCTCCAGGCATGCCAGGAAACAACCTATCAGTGCCCATGAGTAGTCACCTCAAAGGATAATTATAAGGATTATATCTGTTCACATTATTGTTATTGTTGAAAGCTTTTGTTTCTGTAAATTCCAAATTAATCAGGGCAGGCTAAAGTGAATACTCTGCTTTGGGCTAGAGATACAATGGCAAATGTCAGTAATAACAAAAAACGTTATGTCTTACATAGAATATTCAAAAGAAAAGAGCCTGATAGAGACCATTTTTTAAACTTACCCTGCAAGAAATAATACAATCATGAAGCGCCTAAACATTATTAGCAATGACTCCACCTGTTTGAAATTGCCACTCGGAATAGCTTGAGAAGGATAAATCTATGCAGTGTGTGATGGCCCTGAGTCCAAATGTGTGAAATCTAGGCTCGGTAAGAGAAGTAAAGGAACAAAACACCTAAAGGGATAATCCGTATCAGAAACATAGTATATGTGCCTATGTAGTAAGCTTGTTATTAATAAGACTTTTTTTAAATGTCATATATAGGTTCATGTTAAGCAGCTTTTCCTTGATTTTGAAAAGAATGGCATCTGCTAGTTTTTTAAATCTTTTCTAGCCATTTGAAAACAGTCACTGAACCACAAAGTACTAGAGTTGGTTGCAATGGAATTTTACTTTGGAGGAGTTCCTAGAAGGCACTTTTGTATTCCTTTATAACCCCCAAGTCCAAGTTGGAACAAGACAAGAAATTCTTAAAATTTGAGCTAAAGAAAATGTTTCAGAGGAAAAAAGAATGCAGCCTAGACATAAGAGGGTAATGGTGAACCACAGTCTCACAGGATACACCCTCCTTTCTGTGCTCTTGGTCTTAACATGATGTTCCCGGGAAAGCTTCTTGTCACATTCTTCTGCAGAAAAGGAGTCTCTTCACTGTGAAGGTATTCATTTAATGATGAAAGATATCAAGAGAATACAAATTCTGCCTCTATTAACCTAATAAAAGCATTCTGGTTACTTTTGGGAAAGGAGGAAAGTGGGAAGGAAAAAGGAGCACAGTGACTGTCATGTGGAAACACAAACATAAACAAAGGACTCCAGTTTTCTCTGCTTTCCTATTTTCATTCAACACCAAGTGTTGAAAACTATACTTAACTGTATTCCCTAAAGGGGAGGAAGTGAAACGAGGTAGTGGAGAAAATTCTGCATACTCAAGACAGAATATTTATTAGGGAAGCAGGTGCCTGCTGAGAGAGCACCGTGTACAATGGCAGAATCAGAGGTGAAAAAGGATGCAACGCTCACTAGACCTCATGGCTACAAAATAAAGTCTTTACTAACAGCAGAAAACCAGCGGGAAAATTCTTTTTGCTAGATTGGAAAGGATATATTAACAATATTTACTCTAGAAAACCAGAGGAAAGTTGTACAGACAACTGATTGAAAGAAAACCACCCCAATTACCCCAAACTAACTATACATTTTTGACAAGAAAAATCTGTTAAGAGTAAGCACATCTTAAACGAAGCGTGTTACTTTTAATATCCCTGGTATGAAAGTAACAGAGAAGACTTCCTTCCCTGCCACCAACCCATGAAGTGCAAAGATTCAGAATAAGAACCTTTGAAAAAAGGCAAATCAACAAAGCTAGAAGAACTGATAGTGAGAAAAACATGCATCATGAGAAACACACTGGACACCAGAGGTGAGCGCTAGTAGAGAAGTGGAATGGGACACTTACACAGCAGCTATCTGTCAAGGGTCCTGATGGCTACTGTGTTCTTAAACCATCGAGACAGAATAGCAGGATGGGGAGAATGTAGGCACAAACAATCCACCAGATGACAACACTACACAGTGCAGAGGTCAGCACAGCTAGGGAACATCTGGAAAGGGGCGAAGGGGAAAGAACAGGTTCAAATTGGGAAGCCAAAATAAATAAAATAATAAATAAATAAAGCCACGTGTGAATTTTAGATACCCTGCGATGCAAAGGAGCAGGAAACAGGGATCAAATTTTGCCATTTTACGTTGGAAAAAAATGCTGTCTTCAGTTTTAAACCGATTTCATATTTGGTAAAGAAAGGTTAGACCCAATCTCTAGTTGGATAACTACCCCATGTTAACTTAATTGTATGATACTGAAATTAGAGTCATAGCTATGTGGTTGAAATTCTTCAAAAAGCATAATATGCACACAGAAAACCAAATCACAGAGAAAAAGGAGGCAAAACCAACCAGACAAACAAACAAAAAAAGCCCTGAACTGACACAGGCATGTGTCTGCTTTATAGATTTTCATTTGTTCCTCTAGTAAAGCTCCTGGCATGAGAATTATTTTTCAACGATGAAACACACCCACCTACACTGTACTGTTAAAGGTGGTTTTAAGGGATTTTCAAGGCTAACTATATCTGTATTTTTACCTGTTCCCATAGAATGTGCTTCCACTCTTCATGCATCATTTCCTTTGTCCCTAATAAACCTAGCAGAAATCATCAGCACAATGCAGAAAAATAGGCAGCATGGATGAAGTTACAAAATCTACACAATCTGTTTTGGCACAGACAATAATATACTTGCCATCATGTCCTGAAGATCACTTCAAGATCATGGTGCTACATAATTTCCTGTCCTCATGGTAGTCAGGATCAGACAAGCTCTCTGACAAAATTACTAATTTTACTGGACTTCCCTGGTGGCGCAGTGGTTGGGAGTCCGCCTGCCGGTGCAGGGGACGCGGGTTCGTGCCCCGGTCCGGGAGGATCCCACATGCCGCGGAGCGGCTGGGCCCGTGAGCCATGGCCGCTGAGCCTGCACATCCAGAGCCTGTGCTCCGCAATGGGAGAGGCCACAACAGTGAGAGGCCCACGTACCGCAAAAAAAAAAAAACAAAAAAAACTAATTTTACAATTCCTAACACTTAATTCTCCCCAAATATTGACTGTAAAACAGACACCAATGACTGGATTACTTTATGTACTATAACTTTCTTTTAAGAATCACCAGTACTCATATATTTTCCATTAACTTTCCCTCTTAACATTTTCATTTGGCTAAGTACCAACAGTGAAGCAAAATAACATGTCCACGCTGACAGATGGGTCAAAATCCGGAGGCAGGAATTGAATTTAGATTTTTCAACCCAAGCTGCTGCTGCAAACTCTCTCTCAGGGGACTTTTAAATATTTCTAAAATAACAACAAACACTTGGGGAGGAAAGGAAATCTCCAGTTGACCTCCTCTTCTAGGGCCAAAAGAGCTACAAATAAGAGCAAAAATGAGAAGACTGTAACAGCAAAGAGGGTCTGAAAAAGCAGGAAGGGATAAGGAAGGAGAAGGAAGGAAAATCTGCTGTGACTAATCTTAAGTCTCCCAGGGTGTTTACGCATAATTGTGTGTATGGGAAGAGGGTGGTTTGGGGACTATTCTATTGTTTGGGGGATTACAATTACAATTAAAGGGAATCTGGAGCTAGCTTTTTTTTTTTTTTTTTTTAACTTTTACCAAGTAAAAGGTTGTTTTAGGGAATTCCCTGGCAGTCCCAGTGGTTAGCAATATGCTTTCACTGCTGAGGACCCAGGTTCGACCCCTGATAGGAGAACTAAGATCCCACAAGCCGCAAGGCGTGGCCAAAAAAAAAAAAAGAAAGATTGTTTTAACACATGACAAGAATGCCAAGAGTGCTTCAGAGCAAAGGGCCAGCGTTCTTTACTCCTTTTAGGGTAAGGTGGGGTGTAAATAGATAACTAAGCAAATGGATAGCACAGAGGCTGGTCTTTCCTCCACTGATCTTTGCTAGTTACTATCATTCAGCCATCCATCAACTACCATCCCAGGGAACCTCACATACCAAGATAAATGTCATAGCATCTAGTGTCATCTTCTGGTTTCCAGCAATATTTCTAATTTTAGTCTACATTTATTGTTTTCTTTTATGTTTCCACAAATCCATGAGCTATGGAAGAGACTTTTATAGTCTCATTTTTCTAGAAAGGAGCATCAAATGATTTGAACTCTTATAAAACATATTCACAAGATAGCAGACTCAGAGTAACAAAATAAAATTTCCTATAAGCCCTATCGAACTCCAGAACCTTTGACTAAGCAGAATTCCCATCCCTGACTCCCAGCTTGACTTTTGAACAGAAGGCAACAAGCTATTGAGAAATAAACTGACGCTGAAGATTCTTAAAAACAGAACAAAAAACCTGGACATGACTAAAAGCAGCCCACAAAATCATCCACCTTCTAGGGCTTGTGATTCCAAGTGTGGTCTCTGGACCCGTAGCATCTTTTAACACCTGGAAGCTTGCCAGAAATGCAGAATCAGATGGTACCCCAGACCCACTGATCATTATCTGCATTTTAGCAAGCTTCCCAGGAGACTCAAATGCACACTGAAGTTTGAGAAGCACTGCTCTAGGGCACTAGCTATCTCCTCCTGTCTAAAATTGGCTTCAGAATGATTATTTGGAGGGACTATACTATTCCTAAATAAAAAGGACCATTAAGGGCTTCCCTGGTGGCGCAGTGGTTAAGAATCCGCTTGCCAATGCAGGCGACACGAGTTTGAGCCCTGCTCCAGGAAGATCCCACATGCCGTGGAGCAACTATGCCCGTGCGCCACAACTACTGAGCCCGTGTGCCACAACTACTGAAGCCCGTGTGCCTAGAGCCTGTGCACCGCAATGAAGAGTAGCCCCTGCTTGCCGCAACTAGAGAAAGCCCGTGCGCAACAATGAAGTCCCAACACGGCCAAAGATAAAATAAATTAAAAATAAACTAATTTAAAAAATAGTACCTAAAAAAAAACCCATTAAGACCTTAAATGAAGACTTATAATGAAATTAAAAACAAAATGGCATTTGGAATTAAATAAATTATTTAAAGCATTCTAGTTGATTGAATGCACAACTAAACAGCAAAGAGAATGCTTAATTAATGCCTATATCAATACTGATGCCTTTCATTCACATGGCATTTTATTTTGGAAAACTCATTCCTTTACTTTGGGTCTTTTAAGAATCTCCCAAGGCAGTGGCCCATGATGACACATCCCTTAAGTGTAATTCTACTTTGGATTTTAAGATTATGAGAAGATACCAGTGAAGAACTACTTTTAATTAAAAAGGCCTGTTCTTCTCTGCCATAACCATTTACTATGTCATAGTTCCTTGCCATATTACAAGATGCTTACTGAATACTAAGATGACCTATCTCCATCACCAAAAAAGGGGGGCGATGCAAAATTTGACACCCACCCCACAATGAAAGGTACTAGAAGGAAGGAATCCATTGGTATAGGTGGGAGCATCTACTAAAGAATACCCTAGAGGGCTTCCCCGGTGGCGCAGTGGTTGAGAGTCCGCCTGCCGATGCAGGGGACACGGGTTCGTGCCCCAGTCTGGGAGGATCCCACATGCCGCGGAGCGGCTGGGCCCGTGAGCCATGCCACTGAGCCTGCGCGTCCGGAGCCTGTGCTCCACAACGGGAGAGGCCACAACAGTGAGAGGCCCGCGTACCACACACACACAAAAAGAATACCCTAGAAAAAAAGTACAATGGTCAAGTTTTTGATTCTATATATCTTTCTAACAATCCTGTACGTTCCATGAGATTGAATCCCAACTAACACTTACAGAAGCAAGTATAAGTGGACACACACACAACCCAATAACTATAAAACTTCCTATCTCCATACTAAACCTTCTTCTGTAACTTGAAAAATTCCTCCAACGAAAAATTAATACAAAAATATAGTTTAATCAATTCATTGTTGACTTAAAATAATATGACATTAAGCCACCATGTCACCACTAATTAAAGTTTACCATATCAAAACAAATTATGTGTAATACGGTAGTAAATTTAAAGAAATTCACAATTTTAATAACTCTGGACAAATCTACAGTTATTCTACAGTTTATATCTGCTGTCACTCTCTTGAGGATGTAACATGTTTATGAGAAATGGAATACTGTGTGTCATATCAGTAAACAAAGGATGTCATGGTCATCGGTGATTATAGCCACAAGCCAACAATGAGCTGGTGAGCCCTGAGGGAACTCAGGAAGGAAAGAACACCTGCCATCTAGCAGCCGTCAGACTTCAGCCACTCCCACTCCCCATGGTGAGCCCTGAGGAAACTCAGCATGGATACTGGCCCCAGAGAGCTGAGGTGCATATCAAAGGAAGGATTTCAGTGAGCCCAGACTCTTGCATCTTCCCATACATAGAAAAGTGCTAAATTCCTTAACTTGGGATATCTGTTTTCTCTTATTAACAGTAATCTTTTGACATTCAGAATCTGTTTTCTCTTATTAACAGTAATCTTTTGACATTCAAACTACGTTTGCTGCAAAACTCCTATATATCCTGGCTCCCTCCTCGCCTCCTTGGAGCAGTTCTCTCAGGGTAACTTGAGATGCTGCCTCCCGGGCTTCTTCAAGTCCTAAAAATTTCCGCCAAATGAAACATAACTCTCAACTTTTAGGCTGTGAATATTTTTTTAGTCGACAGTTATTATCCATGGAGAAAAATCACTCGGAATAGTGCTTTCCTATCTATACGAGCTAGCGAGGTTGCAACACAAGACAGAGATAAACAAAGGATAACTAAGAGCTTCTTAGGCAACACCCTTAGATTTTAAACAAAGTAGATATTCATTTCAAAGTGGCATAATGGGCATGCAACCATGGAGAAAATGTACAGGAAAAAATGCTCATGAAGGACCTTACACACAAATTAAATAACTACAACCACACGAAGGAAATCAGACTCACGTGAGGGGAATAGCGTTTGTTTTTGATTGTCTTCTGCTTTTCAGGGCCCGAAGTCTATCACCTTGTGTCACTGCATTGATTTCGTCATCATCACTGTACTGTGTAAGTAGAAAAACACTGAGCTAATGATTTAAGCTGTACTTATTAATGCAGCGAAGCATAGCAGCTACATTTACCCATATAGATCATACACAGACACACATAAATATACTTCAACATTCTGAAGAACTCTAAAATATTTTGCTGCTTTCAAAATAAAGGTACAGGACACAATTCAAGACAACCAAAAGTTGACTTTCATAGACAAAGAACCCAATAGCACTCTTGTTATAAAACATTTTGACAGTGAAGAGGCATAATGGGTTTTCAGTATTGAAAACACTCTCTTTTAAATTCCACAGTCTACTTACCACCACTTAATATAGTACTGCTACCCCCTAAACTCTTGGTTCTTTAAAGTTCCCATCTGAGAACAATTGGTTCCCTAAATCAGCTACCATGAAATAGGAAAAAAATGGGGGAAAGGGGTGTCACGAGGTCCATCTAAAGAGTGTACTTCACATACCTCTTTTTATCACCAGTGCCTGGTGAGTAAACAAAAAATAAACTTTAGTTTTAAGGACACATAACCTTGTTTTAACTATTTTGACTAAAAAGTTTCTAGAGAGGGTAATAAGTACAAAAAATGTGTGATGATAATCCCTCAAAATGTGCTTTATTATTTGTATCTACAATTTTCTCCATGCCCTAAAAAGTTCTCAGCAGCACTTAAAGCAATGACAACAGTGTGATGGGGGTGGTTCGATTACCAGTTCATGTTCTTGCTTGTCTTCATTCTCGACCCCATTGATTGAAATGTCATCAACAGCCAAGAGGAGTTTTGAGACAGCTGCTCTGTGTTTTCCATTCTCCTGACCCTTTAACTTTTGACGAAAATAGTCACCTTCCATCCAGAGGCTTGCCTGTTTCCTACAGTATTTAAGTAACAATATCAGAAAGATACAAACAACTTTCTCCTACTAGGCTATCTGCTGTTACTGGAGCCTAAGGCAAATTCTACTTCCCATCACTTTCCAGACCCGTGCGTTCCTGAGGAATTACAAAAGCTCTCCATCCACTTACATCATCAAAAATTGTTGCTGAGGTCCAATCACTGAGCCAGGTCTGCAGATTCTGACCCAAGCAATGGCCTCGGTTGCTGTCATCCTGTAATGCTTCATGATGTAGCAGGCTATCAAAGTGCCTGTTCGTCCAAGGCCAGCTAGGAAAAGAAACAAACCAATGAGACCTGGTGTCATGTGCTCCAGAATTTTGTTGGGCAGGTAGGATTTTTTTAAAAAAGCTTCCCATGATTCTGCTCCCCTCAACAGTGGTTCTCATGTTTTGATGCACAGTACAATCAACTGGAGAGATTTTTTGTTTGTTTTTATTATTATTTATTTATTTTAGGCTGCATTGGGTCTTTGTTACTGTGTGCGGGCTTTCTCTAGTTGTGGTGAGCGGGGGCTACTCTTCGTTGCAGTGCAAGGGCTTCTCACTGCGGTGGCTTCTCTTGTTGCAGAGCACAGGCTCTAGGCGCCAGGGCTTCAGAAGTTGTGGCTCGTGGGCTCTGGAGTGCAGGCTCAGTAGTTGTGGCACACAGGCTTAGTTGCTCCGCAGCATGTGGGATCTTCCCGGACGAGGGCTTGAACCCGTGTCCCCTGCATTGGCAGGCGGATTCTTAACCACTGTGCCACCAGGGAAGCCCAACTGGAGAGTTTTAATTGGTATGTGATGCAGCCTGGACACAGAGATTCCTAAAATCCCTCACATGATTCTACGTTTAGCCAAGATTGAAAATCACTTTCTAAGCGATGATTCTCAGTAAGTGCAGTGTTTTATACTCTGGGTTTTCAGTTAATGGAACCACCATCTTTCCAAAATTACAGGCTTAAAATCTTGTACTTTCTCCCTCATCCAACTGTTTTTTCTACTCTACTTTTATACCTATTTGCACGTGGACTTTTTTTCCCACTCTATTCCTGCTGTCTTCCTTTACTCTCGTCTAGACTAGTATCATTACCTCCTGTGATGGTTAATTTTATGTGTCAACCTGGCAGGTGTATTTGGATGAAATTGGTAGACTTTGAGTAAGCCAACTGCCCTCCGTAATGTGTGTGGGCCTCATCCAATCAGTTGAAAGTCTGAACAGAACAAAAATACTTGCCTCCCAAAGTTATTCTACCAGACAGCCTTTGGACTTCAACTGCACCATTGGCTCTCCTGGGTCTCCAGCCTGCCAGTCCACACTGCATGTTTTATGCTCACCAGCCTATATAGTCACATAAGCCAATTCCTTATAATAAATCTCCTTCTCTCTACATATACATCCTACTAGTTGTTTCTCTGGAAAAATCCCACTAATACAGATTGTGTGAAGTGGCATGCTACTGAAACATTATGTAAAAATGTGGAAGTGACTTTGGCATCGGAATTCTAAAGGCTGGGAGAGTTTTAAGGCACATGTTAGAAAAAACCTAGATAAATACACCATTGTAAAGCAATTATACTCCAATAAATATGTTAAATAAAAAAAAAAGAGAGAGAAAAAACCTAGATTGCCTTGAAGGGGCTGTTAGTAGGAGGAATACAGACGTTAATGGTGATTCCAGTGGAATCACATGGAAACTGGAAGAAAGGCAATCCTTGTTAGAAAGTGGCAAAAAAACCCTGGCTGAATTGTGTTCTAGTGCTTTGTGGAAGGTAGAACTTCTGTGTGACAACCTTGGATAATTAGCAAAGGAGATTTAAATTCATAAGCAAAGTGTTAAAGGTGCAGCCTGGTTTCTCCTGACTGATGTGAGACGAGAGAGATGAATTGAAGAAGTAATTGTTAAGCAAAAAGGAACGAGAAACTAAACATTTAGGAAATTCTAGGCCTATTCATTTTGAAAAAAGTGAGAAACTGTGTTCTGGATACCAAGGGTATGATTGAAAAATCAGCTCCATAAAGATATTACCCATGGATTTAATCAGCCATCTCGGCACAAGCTAAAAATACTGATGGGATTACACTGGAAGACTGCCAGTTTGGACTAAAGGGGACAGAAACAGGATGAAATAAAAGAAGGCTTTTACGTTTCAGGGATCCTATAGGACTGGACAACAGAGGTAACTGGTTGCAAGCATGGCTCATCCTTCAAAAGAAGGTTAGTATGACCCTGAGGGTGATGCAGAGATCAGCTTCCACTGCAGGGGGCACAGGTTCAATCCCTGATCAGGGATGTTTGCATGCCATGTGGTGAACAACAACAACAAAAGACAGTTGTTTTAATGTCTTTGTCTAGTAAGTCTACCATCTGGTCTTTCTTTGGGACAGTTTCTGTTGATTCATTTTTTTCCTTTGAATGAGCTATCCTTTCCTGTTTCTTTGTATTCCTTGAGATTTTTTGGTGAAAACTGGACATTTGAATCTTATAATGTGTGAACTCTCAAGATTAGATTTCTGATATTCCCCAGGTTTGCTGTTTAGTTTTTCTTCTCCCCAGTGTTGGATTTTTCTTAACAAAAATGTATCCCTTGCCTTCTTAGTTAACTAACAAAAGGAGAAAAGTTAAATAAATCCTAGTATATTCATACAATGTGTTATTACACATTCATTCAATAAATATTTATTAAGTGCCAAGCATTGTTCTAGCTGCTGAAAGCCTAGCAACTTGTTAGAATATAAAGTCCAAAAGATAAGCTCTTGGAGTCTGCTCTGCTCACTGACATATGCCAGAACCTACCAAAGTAGGCACTGAATAGATATTTGGTGAATAAGTGAATGTGATAAGCCTTTGTAGTATCACCCATGAATACAACTTAATTTACTATACTTTCCATATGAAATTAGGGTTTTAAAAGCATTCTTTATATGTACAGCCTTTTTATGCCAGTCATACCTCCATAAAGTGGTTTTAAGAAAAAAAAGGAAATCACAAAAGGAAAAAAAAGCACTCTATAAAAAACAAAGGCATCTTCATGTGTCCTTGCATATAATCTAAACGAGTATGGTATGTTTCTACACACATATACATTCACGTCCACCATTTCTTAACCAACACTAGAAACATACCTTTACAGTGTACTGCAATGGCACCCTCTGCATTTTCACAAACATCCAGAAATTCTTTAACAATGGCATCAGTAGGCGTGCTGCCATCCGCAAAGAAAAGATCATAGTGATCGAAACCAGCGTTCGTAAAGCGTTTGGCATCATACATCCTTTTATTCAGACGAATAATGGTGGTAACGTTGTGATTCTTAAAATACGGAATATAAGCCTCAGGAGAATGTTGGTGGTAACCTACATAAAGAAATTCACCAGATGCTGTAAAATGCAGAAAGAAAACAATGGATAACAATTTCACTTGTAACTGGGTGGAAACAGTATCTGGACTGGGGATTGAATACCAGTTTGATTATAACTGTGAAAAAAATAAATTTAAAAAGTTAAAATCCAGGCAGAATGATGTGCTAAAATGTCCAAGTACACTTAATTAAGACAGTCGAGCTTTGGCCTCTTTTAAAAGAAAATACTGGATGGATACTTTTAATAACAAAACTATACTGGTCCCATGTATTCGCATACCACTTTCAAGTCTGGTTCTTGAATGAGGTCCACAGAAGGCAAGAAATCGGTCTGGTATTATCCAATTTAAATCTCCATTTTCTGCTTTCTGCAAAGGGAAGACCAAAACAAGATCAATGTATGTGTATGTATACGTGTACCTAAGAACAGGTAAGAAATAAATCAAGAGTTGCCTTAAGATCTATAGGCCAGGCAAGTAACCCAAAACTGATTTATTTGACTTAATTATCAGCCAAGGGAATTGATGAGTTCATTCCATGCTAAAAGATGTAAGCAGGAATGAGGACAAGTATTGCCACATGTTCTGATTTTGAAGTAAAACCAGAAGTTTGGAGTTTTTAATGAGAAATGTGTGATAGATTTCATTGAATCACAGGCATCACAGATTGTAAGATACATCCTGAATTCAGAGAATTCCTATTCAAAACAGGACAAAATGGGCATCGCGGAATCAATGAAAAACACTAATTCAAAATTTCTAAAAATACTTATAGAGACTAAACAAAGCTACCATGGTGGTCTGTAGCTACCCTGTGTCTCAATGCAGTTTCACTGAAAGTAAAAGACATTTGTGGGTGACCCTGCTACTCTCCCGCAATGCTGCAGTTTCCGCATTAGCGAGCGGGAAGCTAATTAGCACCTATATTACTCCTTAGTAAAAAAACACATAAAGGCATCACTGTGCTACACTGAGGGAATACCAACTGGTGTTTTTATTAGTTTTGCTTATCTAAAAAGAGAAAGTATATTTTATTTTAAATGTTTAATTTTATAAGGAGAAGCACAAAAAATGGTGTTAATAATTCAATTATATTCAGTAGTTAAGATGGTAAATAAATATTGATGTGTATTGTACTTTACAAATGTATTGCTATTACAGAGAAGTAAAGGCAGGGTTGGCCTAATGAATCACACAATATGCTTTTATATGTTTGGTACATCACAGTAATGACTAGTAGTAACTATTAACCCAATTTATCAATAAAATAGTTCAGTTATACTTAGGAGTTTAAAATAATAGTTATTTTAAAAATTGATTGTGAAAGAACAGTTATCTGAGGATTCAAGATAATGCTGAATAAAGTGCTGTCTGTGGAATCATTCCAGTATTAGTGAGACTGTCTGCTCAAGATAACTATAGCAGGATAAAAAAAACCAAGACTCCACAAGTATTCTTGGCTGGAAAAGACCTTTAGCATAACATCTTACTCATTATCTACTTGGAAGGTAGAATGGTAGAATCAAATTACACATTAAAAAAAATACACATTAAAAAACATAGAGGACACCTGCGGTTTTGCCTGCTTGGACTCTCTCCTCTCTGTGCCCCCCCACCCCACCTTTCTTGGTCTGTATGATTTGATAGGGCTGACCCGATTCCACTGCTGTGATGGCCAAAGTATTCTATACCTACTCATCCCCCACACTCACCAAAAACACAGCCTAGTTCAGGGCTAGAGACATGATCTAAGCCAGGCCAAGGAAAGGAGTTCGAGAGTCTTCTGCTGGAGCTATGAATTTTCTTTTCCAATGAGTTGGGTAAATCAAACGGGTAAGTCAAAGCTGTTGGTAGCCATCTTTATCCCAACTGGGGAGAGCTGACCTTGGAACAAAGCTAGCTTCAGCCCAATTTCTGGTAAGTGCTTGAGTACCTGAATCTGGTCATGAGTGAAGTTACACTAGCTCCTGGACTTTTTATTTACATAAATCAATAAATTTTCCCCACTTTATTTAAGCCATTTGTGTTTACTTTTTGTAATTTGCATCCAAAAGTGTCTTGACTTCACAGAAACAATAGGTTCTGACAAAAACAAATATTTTCCAGAGTTAATCAGATGTATAATGGCTATTCATTTCATCAGCTCCTATGCTAAGGGTTTAACAAACATTATCTCATTTAATCACTGTATGAAAGTCATCAATAATAAAAAAAATTTAAACTAAAAATTAAAGAAAAATGCCAGAGCACACTCATTCACTCTGGAAAGATGTATCAAATGCAAAAATCAATATGAACTAGGACTGCAGAAATAGGAATAAGAGAAAAAAAGACGAGTTTTTTTCACTCTACACACATCTAAATTGTTTGATTTTTCAAAAAATAAGAATACTACTTCTGGAAGTAAAACATGCATAAAAGAGTTAAAAACAATATCCTTGAAAACTTACTTCATAGTATTCATATTCATCGAGGTTAAATGAGTTGAAATTAAGGAAGCCATACTGCATTGCCTAAAATCCAAAGGAAAGCTTTTAATAACAAAGATGCAAATAAGGAAACAGTTTCCAATCCAATTTCTTAATAATAAGTATCAGGAGGCACCCCAGAAAAACATTCTTACATTTAGATTATGTTCCATTGAGTAGTTTTCAAAGGAGGTGGGCTATGTCTTTTAAATGCTTCCATTATCAGGAAAATTAGTTATAACAATATTTATTTTAATGAAATTTTATTTTTTATTTTCCTTCATCAGTCATCCTATCCATGCAACATCTAAATAATCAAGCCTTCAAAGTAATCCTACTAGTTTATTAGATCAACATCATTCAGGCTTCAAATATAATGCATAACCCAATGGTTGCTAAATAAATAATATAAAGGAAAGAAACCATGTTTATATGGTTTATATCAAACAAATCCCACACATTTCATAAACATCTTCACTTTCAAATTCTGAACAGTCTTGAATTAAAAGATTAATGTTCCCTATACTAAAGACAGCCCAGAGATCAACACTAAAATGCAAAATTTTGAGGGAAAAAACCCTTGTTTCAATAAGGAAAAATATATGAATTTTCTCTTCTACTCTGTAGCCTCACTCTGAGTTGCAATGGGCAGAGCATCATGCTAAGCAAAATAAGCACAATATCTATTTTCTGAGACAAGGACAAGCTGGCAGCCTCTGACAACCGTTCTCCCAGCTTACTGAGCCAGACAGTATGTAAGCAACAATTCTTGATCAAGAAGGTATTCTTGGTTCAAAAGGGGTGATTCTGCAAACGCAGTGTGCAAAATGTAAACTACTGAAATATGAATGAGAAATAAGAAGGCTATAACACCAAACAAAAAAAAAACTCATTTTATAAAATATAGTGGCTTAAGTCCTAACTCCAATACCAAATCCACGATGAATTTTATTTCTTTGAATTTGGAGTACCCAATACATGTCATATTTGGACTAGAATGATACATAATAATACAACAACAGAGTGACACAATAAAATAACAGAATGATACCATAAAATGTATCAGTTTGCAGGGAATTTCTATTATTTGAATTTCATAAGGAGACCCTATTAGAAGTAGCACTTAAAAAAAAGCACTACTAAAATCAAGACATAATTATTGATACATTTATAAAAATTTCAAATACACAATAATATTCAAAATCAGTCACAAACAGAAAATGTTTAAATGTAAAATCAGAAGCTGTTGTCTCTTGAATAAAATTAAATGTAGCATGAAAAAAGCAATCTTTGATCTATAGTTATAGCTAATTAAACTTTGGATATAACATCTGATAAAAACAAAGCCAATGTTATAGTAGACCATCTCCAAGGCTCTCATAAGTGTTTCTTCTTCTTCTTTTCTTTCTTTTTTTTTTAAAGGTGCTGGGAGCAGAGAGAAGGGAGCCCTAGGATCAAGGACAAGTATGCCTGGCTACATCAGCAGTTCCCTGGGGTCCATCTGGCAAGGACTGTAACTGTAACTAGAAGGGGTCATCTATACCTACTGTCTCCCCATCTCCTGATCACCTCCTCTGCCCATGACCTGCCTAAACTGTGGCCTCATGGAGCTGTCTCAGAACCTGCAGCAACTACCTCCATCAGCTCCATACACCACAGAGCTGCTGGACTCGGTCCCAAAGTTAAGGTCCATCCTCATTGCCTTATATAGGAACAAAGATACAATAATGAATCTCTCAAGTTGTATACTAATTAAGTCTCTCAGTTTAACCCCTAAAATTTCTGTCAAAATTCTCAGAAAGCCACCATGTTCCATTATACAAGAAAGTAAACCTGGGTTCCTTGTGCCTCTGAAAATACAAGTCACACAAACTTGAGATGTTTTCGAAGGCTTATTTGATCCAAGGGCTACTGACTGGCAATTCTAGTTTCTTGCATGGCCCTGATGTTCAAGAAATATACCTAAGGGAGTGAGTGTTATAACCAGGGTCTGCTGCGTCCCATGACTCCAGGGGACCCTGTTTATTTAGAATGTGGTATGACGGTTGTCCCCTGGAGTCAAAGACAGCAAGTAGCCCTGGTTATAAAACACAGGAGTTATTTTTAAATAGCTCTGACAAAGCAGTAGTGACCTATACTTAGTATTATATAAAACCTAGTAACAAACTAATGGGCTACTCAAATACTTCTGTTGAACTAGAAATTGAATGCTTGAAGATACAAAAACAAAGTATTTGACAGTTACTGTGTTATAGAAATGTCTGTTGTAAACAGAATTGATGGGAATCAGACCCATAAAATACATAAATCAAAGAGAACTTAGAAACCAGTAACCTATTTACTTCTTGTTTTTCTTTGAAATCATAACACATTCAAAACCAATTCTGAATTTAGAGCCTAATTACAAAACTGTTTCTTATTGTTCCCTGTGTTCAAGTGGCTTTTCCCCCAACTCGTGCACAGAAGCACTCAGATTCAGAATAATCTGTTTTCTAGTTTAGTGTCATTCTAATGTTGGCAGGGAAATGGGATACCTCTCACATCATATACATCTTGGAAGATCTTTGGGGAAGAAGGCCTGTCTTCCTTGCACTGTACTTAAGTTCTTCAGCACAACACTGGGTGTATCCTACGAGTCACTTACCTTCTTTACTGCATAAAAACAGTCAAGAAGTGTAATGTAGAAATTGCAACTCCCATAGGCAGCATCTCTGAAATTCCAAAAGTATTGAAATACATAGCTCAGTTAATTTAATTTTCTGCTGTACACTTATCTCAAGACAAAGTTGATTAGAATTTAAAATCAAACACATACTCAGGATCAGTCTCAAAAAAACACAAAGGATTCTTGCCTTTTGGTTTTTAAATAAAGGATAAGTCACTGTTATACAGTTCATTGTAATTTCTACCTATTCTAGTAGATACTGTTTTATAGATGTGGATCAATAATGACCACATCTTAAATTTCAAATGATCTGTCTAGACTGTTTTTGGCTTTAATAGTTGAGCTTCAAAAGTTCCTTCTTGAGTTCAACTTCTCAATAGTATGTACTCCTCCCCTCAAAAGGGAAAGGCACTGATCTTTTTCTTCCAACTGGAGAATACTGTGTCAAACTGTTAGCAGGAAAGACTGCTTTTTGATTCTGTATATGCACATTGTGTGCGTATGTGTGTGTGTGTTTATCTCCATCCACGTAGCAAAAAAAATTTGGAAAGCAAGATAATATTTGAAATAATAGGTGCAAGCTAAAAAGCATTTTGCTCCTCTCATTATGCTCTTATACTTTTTAACAATTTAACTGGATAACTTCTTTCTGGTTCTTAAAGGACAACAGTACCAATAAAACCACAGAAACTAAGGAGTGAACTACTGTTAGGAGAATCACTCTACATTGGAGAAGTGCTTAAAATTAAGTTAGACAGCCCCACCCAACACTGCATCAACACCTGTTAGCAATCTTACTACAAATGTCTTATGTCAGTTAAGATTTTGTCCAGAAAAATAAGGTATTCCTCCATTCCCACCTGCTTCTCCTTTTTGGCTAACTTGAGTCATTTCATTACAAAGTGAAAATTTTAAGAATTAGGCAAGATAAAAATGAATTTTATTATGATCATTCTAGGCATGCCAAGCAACTGTGCCTATCAGAATGGTACTCATTTGGTCCCTATGTGGAACCAGGCTGCTACTGGAGCCATAATTAATTGCCTGCCGTGGTTGGGCTTTCACATTGTAATTCACTTACCTGAAAAATTAAGGCATGTTAAAAATGTTTAGTTCTTGTACAAAGTTTAAGAATATAGATTATTATAGCAACATTAACATCAAAGAAAAGGGCATCCTTTTTAGCTAAGACAGTTTCAGACATTACTGTCTGAATTGGTTAGATTTACTTCAGTATATGTTAGGCTTCATGAAGACTGGACGCAAGGCCTTACAACGTGCCATTTTTGTTCTGTAAGCTTTTGAATTTAAATGCTGCTCTTCCAAAAGCTAGGAAAGGTCTCAATGCAACTGAGAAAATTATTTTTACCAATAGCTTACTGGCAATATTCAGGAAGGAGAAAAATAAAATGACCTGCACCATTAGTTCTCAGAATACACTCCCTGGGCAAGAAGCACCAACATGCACCCCACTTGTTAGAAATGCTAATTCTCAAGCTCCAACCCAGACCAGTTCTAGGTGTGGGGCTGGGTCCTCCAGGTTATTGTGATATACGTTCAAGTTTAAGAACCACTGACTTACAGGATCAACACAAATAATGTTTTGTACAAGTAATTGTTTCATGGAATAAGGAATGTTTCTAAGATAAAGAAGCTAAGGTAGGAAAATGAAGTAGTTTAGTCTAAATCAAAATCATCAGTGGAAAGACGATGAACTCTCAAATTGCATCCCAATGTTTTTCACCATGTCTCCTCAGTTAGCTACGATTATTATCTTCTTAACCTATGATAATTCTTTTCCAATCAAGTTAAAGGCATGTTGATTCAGTTTTTGTGACAACTTGATGCATTTATTCAATGCATAACTTTGAATAAACCTACTGTGGGCCAAGCCCTGCTCTAGTCAAGCTTTGATCTGAGCTTGGATAAAGTTCTGCCACATTATCTGAAGAGACAAGAATCTTTCTTTATTCACTCATGTTTATTTCATTAACACCTCCAACTTTAAACACATCCACACCTCCTTCCTCCCACCCAAGCCATTAGACTTCTTCAAAATGGTAAACTAGCACTATGAAGCTGGATATAAGCCTTTGTGAGGGGGAAAACCTTGTCACAGATCATTTAACAAACTTGGAAAAGCAGATGAGAATCAATAAAGGAATACTGCTTAGAAACTGCAAAACAATGTCAAATACTAGTTTAAAAAAATAACAGTTTTCAGAGCAGCTTGCATTCATAACAGCCTAAAACTACAAATAACCCAAGTACCCATCAAAAGGATAATGGACAAACAAACTGTGGTATATTCATAGAATGGAGTGCTACAAAAGCAATAAAAATAAGACAAACTATTGATACTAACACCTGCCATCACATGGATAAATCTCACAGACATTATATATTTAAAACACTAGATCCCAGCTCTCCAAAAATGTATCCTGTATGATTCCATTTATATGACATTAAAAGATAAGAAAAACTTTTAGAAAGGGGGCAGAAGAGAATCTTCATGGGGGCTGACAATTTTCTGTATCTTGAACTGGATGGTAGTTACATGTAAATATGTAGGAGTTTATTGTTCTGTACACATAGGAGTTAGAGTTTTTAATTGTGTCTAAGTTATACATGGTTTTTAAAAGGAAAAAAACATGAATGTTTAACAAATGTCATCTAAGGATCAGGCACCAAGTGTTGCATAAGCAGGATGCTACTTAATCCTGACACCTCATTAGGGTGATCCTACTATCATTCCCACTTATAGACTAAGAGACCAAGGCTCACATTTGTAAAGAACCACGGAGATATTAGTGGCAGAACGGAGAGTCAAACTCCCATCTGTCTGAGGTCAATAGCCAAGCTATTAGCAGCTCTGCAATACTACCTCTCAAGAAAATAAAGAACAGAGCCCTCTCCCCAAAAAAACCCAAACACACACACACACAAAAAAACAATTAAGAAGCAAGGAGTATTATAGGCAATACCAAAGAACAGAAGTATATGCTCTTCATATAACAATGATCCAAAAGTATTAAGAAAATGTTTAACTATATTTTATACTGTTTTTTCAGGTAGACAGGTAGAGAAATATCTAATATAATTCATTAAGAAATCATATATATATATTTTTTAAAACTCAGTGGTTGAAGTATTATATGTAACTTAAATTACATCTAATTAAATATTGCTATGAGCCTAAAAGGAGTTATTAAAGACAAGTGAACACTATTCTTGCACAATCCCTTGTTAGCAGTTATATTTATTCTATGCTCTTGAATTGGCAAAGATAAAAGACTATAGTGTAATTTCTGTCAAAATATTATCAGGTTTTATTAATCCTGATTTGCCTACTTTCTGCTTTTTTTTTTTTTTTTAAATATTTATTTATTTATTTGGCTGTGCCCGGTCTTAGTTGTAGCACGCGGGATCCTTGTTGCGGCGGGCAGGATCTTTAGTTGTGGCATGCAGGATCTAGTTCCCTGACCAGGGATTGAATCTGGGCCCCCTGCATTGGGAGTGTGGAGTCTTCACCACTGCACCACCAGGGAACCACTGGACCACCCGCCTACTCTCAATTAGTAAGTTCTTCAGAACAGTAAAATGTGGTGAAGCACAGATTTTTAAATCTGTCAAAGGCTGATACTTTTGTAAAATACAATAATATTTGTACTATTACATACCCACAATAATGCAATAATCTTATTTTGTAAGTAAAAATGAATTATTAGAAAAATGGAAGGAAAAAAACACATAAATACAAGCTTAAATTCTTCTATTATTTGATTCCACAGACATAAAAATAGTCTATTAAATTGCTAAAAAGTCTGTAAAATCTTACTCGCAATTCCTGTACTTATCACAAGCTAGTAACAAAAAGTTCACAGACTGGCACTAGTTCACAGGCCACACTTGGAGAATCATTAAATGTCTGGCATCTATGACTAAAGAGATTCAAATTTCACAAACCTGAACTGCTTCTAGCTAAGTCCTGTTTTTTAGAGAATTAATGATTTTTGTTCCTGGAACCAGAAGCAACTAACTACATTTTTCAGTGCCAAACTTTAAGAATTTAAACATGAGTATGGCAGTAAACAACATTTATTCTATTTTTGATCCCTGTATTTAAATTAACACAAAACTTCTCTTATATTAACAATGCTTCATGGATCCTTACTTAGATTATGTGAAATGTGTAAGCTTATCCCTGTTTCAGGACCTTGCGTTATAAAATTTAAGGATGGCACTATTATAAAGGATTACTATTATAAAAGAAGAGTTCTGTAGAACAAAATTATCACTACAGCAATGTGCCTATGACTCAGGGACCACAAACACAATCACTTCTTCTGAAGGAAGTATATGGTTGCTGTTATAAGTTGAGAAGAAAAATGGAGCACTCTCCAGTTTAGAAAATAACCTTCATCCCTTCCTACCCACCACAAAGAATACTTAAGATGATCTCTGAGCTAGGAAGAAAGGCAGAGTGATACAGCGTCCAAAGCAATTCTTCTAATTGGCTAAATCACTAATATACATGCAGTCTTTAGTGCAATATATAACTGAACTCTGCAGACTATCCTAAAAAAAATCTCTAATTCATGGAGTAAATCCATGGACAGTCCTACAGCGTTATTTAAGAAGGAGACAGATTCTGCATAAGGTTAGGGACACTCACCCCAAAACTTGTCCACAATTAAGTCAGGTTCATAACCTCCCCTTTAAAGGCAAGCCCACGTCTTCAAAATCAGGCATTTGAGGTATATGCAACAATTCTAAAACTATTAACTAATTTGCAGGCGGAAGAATAATGCAATATTTGAAATTCTCAATACAGTATGCAATGAGTAAAATCATTTCACACACTTATTATACTTAAGCACCATACAAGTATTTAATTACACAGCTAAGTCAAGTGTTCTGATAAACAGGAAGAGCAACTTTTAGAACTTCATTTGATTTTTAAAAAAAGAAAAAAAAACACAAGTTTTTGGGGTTTTTTTTTTCAAAATATCTTCAACACAATCACCTGGTAACTTTGACATAAGGATGAGGATGTCATTAACTTATATAAAGACATTACTTATCTACCACCTCTATGACACAGCCGTTTTGGTTTTTCAAGTAGTGGTGCTATAACAGCAACCTCACCCACTATTTCTGCTGGCTGTGTCCCTAGGAAAAAGGGGTTCGTTTCTGCCCCAGAAGTAACTCCTGATTATTGGGAAAAACTTATTTCTTAACTCCTCAGGACCAAAACTCCGCAGTACTGGAAAACGGTAGTTTTGCATACTATAACTCCAGGATTCTCATCTGATTACAAAGCACAGTTTCCATCAGTGAGAGTGGTTCTGACTTCTCATGTCGGAGCGATTCACCACCACTACCACTAGCACCACCACAGACATCTGGCAATGTCTGGAGACATTTTTGGCTTTCACAATTAATTTTCTGGGGTGAGGGTGTTACTGACATCTAGTGGGCAGAGGCCAGTGATGCTGTCAAACATCCTGCAGTACACAGGACAACCACCCCCCAACAAAACGTCAATAGCATCACTGTTGAGTAACCTAGATCTATGGTGTTATTTGCACCCACCTCAAAATAACTATTTATGAGGTCTTCTTTTTTCAGAAACAACTACACCAAGATATTTCTGGCAAGGGCCTGATTAAATGAATCTACCATAACATTCTTATATTTACCTGAAAGGAATATAGGATGTATCTCCAAACATTAATATTCTATATGCTTCTTCTGGAGTTTTCCCCAAATATATAACCTACATTTGAAGAGAGAAGAAAAAGGCAATTTACTTCTAAATAAAGATATAGTACTGTCACTGAGAAGTAAGCTTTGTACAATCTTTAGCCAATCAACTGAGCCTGATTCTCTAGCCTTCCCAAGGATCCTATGAGTTGCCCACTACCCAGTCAGTGAATTCCCCTTTTGTTTAAATCTGCTGTCACAGCTGGTTTCTGCTGCTTGCAGAGCCCTGACCAACAACTTTTTACAACAGCCTTTTGTGGTAAGAAGTAGAGCATTTCAAGAACAGATTTTCTAAATCAAGATGTTAGACTGAGCACATGCTTTGACCTCATGTCCTTTCTAAAGATACACCGAAATGATAGTAAAGAAGTGTGTGGGAGATGGGGATAGGGGATGGACTGGGACTGGGACTGGGGGGAGGATGAGAGCAACATAGAATCAGGACAAATATTTTTATTAACTCCATCCATTTAGATTTAACAACGTACAATATTGTACGGGTTTCCTATAAAACTTCATTTGTTTACTATTGTCATTTGCTTCTTTTATCTTCAGAACTACGTTATGCTTCCATTTTTATCTGGTAGAATACTTCAAGTGGATTCTTCAGCATTTGAGGTCCACAGTTGGTGGGCCTTTTTGTATTTCCAAAGGATCTTGTTTTCTGCCCTGACACTGGACTATGTATATGGTTTCAGGTCTGCAGTCCTTTTATCTCAACAGTTCATAGATGTTGTTCCACTGTCTTCTCATTTCCAGTATTGCAGAAGTATTTTACTCGTCTCATTCTCTTCTCCCCCTCCTCTTCCTCACAAGCAACCTGTTCTAGAAACTTGGAGCTTGAGAATGTCCACTGGCATCCCTCTAAATAAGTCATCCCCCTAAATAAGTCATCCCCCGCCCCAATTAAGTTTGCCTCGGACTTTCTGACCCTCACTCTATCCGAAGGCACATCTTTTTCCAACTCAGAATCTTCTGGCAGGACATTTTCCACCCATACATGGAGGCAAGGGGTGACAGAGGCCACAAGCATTAGATGTGGCACACATATTATTACTCAAATTCAATTCAATTCTTAAGCTTACTTTGGGAGAAAATATACTTTAAATTTTGACCAGTAAAAATAAATAACTAAAAAATTTAATTACAAACTTTTTATCTCCATTACTTAAATTTATATAAATGAGCTGTTTCTTCAACAAAATTCTGAAGTAATAACCTATGTCTTATGTTTCATTGTAACTCCAGATTCATATTGGGTTGGCCAAAAAGTTCATTCAGCTTTTCCATCCCATCTTACAGAACAACCAAATGAACTTTTTGGCCAACCCAATACCTTTTATATGGACTCAGATTCGATCCTTAATTCATTGAACTTAAATCTACTTATAATAGGAAATTTTAAAATAATTGATAAAAAGTTAATACAAATATATCATTGGATTAAGAAAAATTATAAAAATCAAAGATCCAGCAAGAATCTTTGAAACTTAGAGAAGGATATACCTTAAAACAAGTCAGCTTCCAGAGGGCATTTGACCAATTTTGTTTTAAGACTCATAAATGGAAATGTTTACCCTGTTTCTGAAAATGATTTTATCCCATTTACTCTAATAATACAGAACTATAATTAACTATACAGAATCTTCTAACATTTATCTATAGCAGCATACAAACCCACAAAGAACAATCAATCCCAAGAACAAAGGAATGCCTTCTTACCTAGTATCAAACAAATTTTCAAAGTACAATATTACTGACTCAGAGAAGGTTGTAATTTATCATGAATTAACTAATCAAAATCATCTATAATTGCACTCAACATTATATTTATCTATATATTACTTATTTAGATCTTTTAAGGATCAATCTATCAATTGACTTTCTATTGTCTTACTCTTTATTTGGAAATAGAGCATAACAGTTCCTTTAAGAAAAACTAAAAAGTCTTTTCAATCTAGTGCCCCCCTGCCCCGTTCTCTACATTTACTCCTTCTCTTCTAGTCTCCAACCTGCTTCCTTTCTCTTCTAAGACTTAATGAATAACTTTAGGAAAGCCTTTTCATTTCTCCATTCTATTTTAGGTCTTCCTAGCAGGACTCCTCCAAAAAACTTCCTCTAAAAAACAACAACAAAAACACAAAAGAAAACCAAATAAAAAAATACCTTGAGGCCAATGAGGGTAAGAATAGGATTTGATTCACTGATGTACGTATATACATACATAACTTAAATAAATTAATTAAATGAAATCCAGAAACCTCATTCAGATTTTCCCTAAATTTCTAATACGAAATTCTCTCAAATTATATAAACTTTTTCTTAAGCACCAGGTGAAAGATAATTCCTCCAACTCAAGATTGCAGTTCCTTGGTTTCTTTAATTACTAAAATTGCAATGGTATTATTTCCTTCTAACTTTCAAAACAGAAATAGTCTCTAATACATTAAATAATTGTGGGTTAGTCTTGGAATACAAGTTCAGTTCAAAGAACCCAAGAAAAATGTAACATTTTTTCCTATGGAGAAACAAAACCTATATTCCTAGTGATGAACTTTTTAAAAACATAACCTTTAGACCCAACTGGGGAATGCTTATACATAGAGATTTTAGGTACAATGTAATAAGTTGAAGGAAATTTACAGATTCAGAATAAGTTTTTTACATAATGCTATGGTCCAAAGGTTTCTGTCCCATCCAAAATTCATATGTTGCCTTGCTTTCTTTAGGACTCCTCACTCCAAGAAAATCAGGTTCTTGTTTTGTGAGTGCAGCCCACGTGGCGAGGACCTGAGGCTCCTTGCCAACAACCAGTGCAAACTTGCTGGGCATGTGAATGGGCCATTTGAGCAGTGGACCCTCCAGCCCCAGTCAAGCCTTCAGATGACTGCAGCCCAGCCAGATCCAGAAGCAGACCCCCCCCCAAGTTAGCCAATCTCAAATACCTTCCCCACAGAAACTGTTTCAGAGAACATTAATTGTTGTTTGAAGTCACTAAGTGTTGGTGTAATATAATACAGCAAGTAACACAGTAAAGAGTGAGCAACTGATCATTTCAGTTTGTTGAAAGTAGATAAAGTTTTTAAAAATGTGACAAGTGCAGAGATGTAAAAGTAAGGAAGCCCCATGGCTTAGGAAACATGAGTAGGGAGAACCTGCTGTCTCTCTCCAGGGTAAGGAATCTCTCTGAAGGAGCAAAAGGCAATCTCACAGGAAAAATAAAATACTGGGATAGAAAATACTTAGGAAGTTGGTAGTGCTTTTCAAAGTCATGACACAAACTTTCTTGGTTTTGTTTTCTGTGGGGTTTTTTGTTTGTTTTGTTTTTTTGCTGAACAATATTGTAGCCATTAGGATTCCACTGCCCCCATTTAAAAAATTACCATCTGCCTAACCCAGCCCTGTGAAAACTTCTGATCTTGAATTGCTGATCAATGTTTCAAAACCTAAGAGAGCCTCAAGTAGCAATGGATAACTTAGTGGGCTGAAACAAAAAGATCACAACTTGATCATGTATAGTTTTAATCTTGACAATTCAGGTCTCAAAACAATAAAGCCCAGTTATTTAGACATGTACTTCTCATTTCTATTCTCCCACAGAACATTTTGAAGTTTAATCTATGTACTTAGAGAAGCCTCTGGTAGAGTTTAAAAAACCAAAACATTGAGGGGGACCTTCAAGATGTTGGACGAGTAAGACATGGAGATCACCTTCCTCTCCACAAATACATCAAAAATACATCTACATATGAAACAACTCCTACAGAACACCTACTGAACACTGACAGAAGACCTCAGACTTCCCAAAAGGCAAGACACTCCCCACGTACCTGGGTAGGGCAAAAGAAAAAACAGAGACAAAAGAATAGGGACAGGACCTGCACCTCTGGGAGGGAGCTGTGAAGGAGGAAAAGTTTCCACACACTAGGAAGCCACTTCACTGGTGGAGACGGGGGTGGGCTGGGGGGAAGCTTCGGAGCCTAGAAGGACAGACAGCATAGCAACAGGGATGCAGAGGGCAAAGCGGAGAGATACCCACACAGAGGATTGGTGCCGACCAGCACTCACCAGCCTGAAGCACGTCTGCTCACCCGCCGGGGCGGGTGGAGGCTGGGAGCTGAGGCTCGGGCTTCAGAGGTCACACCCCAGGGAGAGGACTGGGGTTGGCTGCGTGAACACAGCCCGAAGGGGGCTAGTGCGCCACAGCTATCTGGAAGGGAGTCCAGAAGAAAGTCTGGAACTGACTAAGAGGCAAGAGACCATTGCTTCAGGGTGCGCAAGGAGAGGGGATTCCTTCCCTGTCTGCCCACAGTAGGCAGGGCACCGCCTAAACGAGCTCCAGAGATGGGCACAAGCCGCAAATATCAGCTCGGACCCCAGAGACGGGCAAGAAATGCTAACGCTGCTGCTGCAGCCACCAAGAATCCTGTGTGCAAGCGTGGGTCACTATCCACATGCCCCCCCACCCCACCCCGACCCAGAGCCTGTGCAGCCCGCCACTGCCAGGGTCCTGTGATCCAGGGACAACTTCCCCAGGAGAACACACGGCACGCCTCAGGCTGTTGCAACATCACTCTGGCCTCTGCCGCCACAGGCTCGCCCCGCATTCCAATTATAACTACCGTACCCCTCCCTCCCTCCCCCGGCCTGAGTGAGCCAGAGATCCCTAATCAGCCACTGCTTTAATCTGGGCGGGAACAGGTGCCTGAGGGCAGCCTACACGCAGAGGCGGGGCCAAAACCAAAGCTGAGCCCCGGGAGCTGTGCGAACAGAGAAGAGGAAGGGAAATTTCTCCATGCAGCCTCAGGAACAGCGGATTAAATCCCCACAATCAACTTGAGGTACCCTGCATCTGTGGAATACCTGAACAGACAACGAATCATCCCAAAATTGAGGCGGTGGACTTTGGGTGCAACTGTAGACTTGGGGTATGCTGTCTGCGACTGACTTGTTTCTGATTTTTACGTATATATTAGTACAGATTTTAGCGCTTCTTATCATTGGTGGATTTGC